AAAAATTGAAGAAATTTTGATGGTTTCAGAAGTTGCAGATTTTTTCATATTTATGAAAAAAATATAATTCAAAAAATTTAAATTACATATTTAAACAAAAACATTAGATTGACTTATTACGAGATAGATTATAAATATTATTAATGTCCATAGTGTTTATGCATTAAATTAATTATCAATTTAATTACAAATCACATGCATGTCCAAGCAATCCTTTAATCAAGCTCTATTAATTTAATGCATAAACACTATGGACAGTAATAATATTTATAATCTCCTAATAAGTCAATCTTGTGGTCCATCCTGCTATCTCTCTCTCTGGAACTAGAAGTAACCGCCCCACCATTTCATTGCCATTCTTGGTCATCATTATTAGAATGTGAAAATTGTACGGAGTCAGAATTTTTAAATAAAGGATTAAAAATATATAAAAATAGAATATTGAAAAAGGTTCAATATTTATTATATATATATAAATTTATTATAATTTTATATAATAATATAATTTTCTGGTGAAAGGGGTTCTACAAAATAGCTTCGCCCCTTTTCCATCCCCATACACACATCTAATTAAAATATATATCATACTTCTGATTTCACATTTTTAATAACTAAATTTGACTTTGATTTTTACGATATATGATCAAAGTATGATATATAATCAAAGTATATATAACATTAATGTTAGACGTGTTTAAATCTAAATTATGTAAATTACCTTCATATGGAGATACCAATATAATCTTTTGATTTTTGCCAAATCAATAAAAATTATTACAATATTATTTATTTTAGGAATCATATGCCTTAGCTTGCACGTTTAACACAAGAGAGTTCCTACGCCACTACAGAGTTACTAGTATTATAATTCCACACGCAAACCCATTCCATCTACTTTTCCTTGTGTCCAAATTGTCTTCTGCTTCTTCCTATTTTCATACCTCTGCTTTGTTACAATAAATAATTAATGGACGCAACAATTCATTGCCTTTCCTAATTGTTGGTCGGTATTTAAATTTAACTTATTTAAAATAATTTTCTTTTTATTTATTTTGAAAAGTGCTTGAGAGATGAAAAAAATTAATTAAAATACATTTCTTATGCTTTTTAAGAGTTTAGTTTAGATTTACTTATTTCAAAAGTGTTTTTAGTCAAAAAAATTTAAAGTACTTTTGAAATATTTGAGTAAAATACAAAAAGTGTTTATAAACTTTTAATTTTAAACTAAGATGATAAAATAACTTGAAACCAAAAGTTAATGCAAATAAATCTAAAAAGGTAGAAATAAAATAATCAAAGTCAAAAATCTGGTGTTTATGAATTTTTTCTAAAAGTCAAACCGGTCTATAATTTTTCTCTTATTTCATTTGAAGTAATTGATATTTATATTAAAATTTGATAAATTTTAATTTGTCTCATGTAAGGCTTATTAAAGAGAAAAGTCCAACTATACAATATCATTTGTTGATGATCTCTAATTTTCAATATGTTTACTTTGAAATTTATTTTTTATCGTAAGTAACTCTAAAAATATTTTAATAGAGCGTATTTTTTGTTTTGACTGATTATTTTAAGAAATTATTTTTATCATATAAAAAGATATATTGTGGCTCGCCGAAAATTTGAAAATGTTGTTAAAAGATCATTTGTTACGACGTAACAATAATTAGTTTTCTTCCTAGAAACTTAGCCAATTGGTACCTAGCTACTGCCAGATGGATTAGGAAACTTTGTGCATGTTCCATCTAACAAGTAGTTATAAACTCAAGCATATGATTGCTATTTTCCTTACGGCACATTTGGGGTTTTGGATATTTTATTAAACTTAATTGTCTCAATTTCTTCATCACCAGAATATCCCTTCTATCGTGGGCAAGGACGCAAGTATTTAATAGTATGAATTGAATTAAATTTATAATTTTTTATGCGGAACACATATCTATATAAGAGTTTATTTACTGCTAAAATTCATAAAAGTTTAGATTTTGAATTTTCTTCTAATAATTGAATCTCTGTATTTTAGTTGAGTATGATAATATAATTAAAGTAATATATATATATATTTAAAGTATGTCATTTATTCTATAATTGATGTAGTACTTGCGTAAGCTTCTTTAATTTCAATGCTCAATTATATTTCGTCATTGATAGTAATTAAAAATTATACCTAACAGCATCTTTTTCTCATCACTGAATGGGTATAAAACGTATATACGAAGGCAAACTTTTGGATTTTTTTTCAAAAAAGAAGTTTTTAATATGTATATACTTGGAAGACCACTTTGGTGACGATATGAGGTAGGGAAAGCGGAAGAAAATAGAAATATTTTTAGAAGATAATAATTGTCTGTGAAGGTTATTATTAAAAAATAAGCAAATGGATTATAAATAAAAATACATAAAATAATCTCGATAGACTTAATGAATAAAATAAAATTTATTATATAATATGATCATGATTTCAGACAATAACTAATTGAATGCGCTCAACAAGCAACGTAGTCATAACTCATACGTATAAATTTTTAACAAATATCAAAATAAAAATGTTTAGTTTATAGCTGTCAAATATAAAATTAAACTAGTAATATATATTCACTTTTTAGTTCAGAAAAATAAAGAAAAAAGCTTGTGGAGCCGAATTTACATGATTTAGACGTAATTACAAATAAATCATTGCATAACAAAAAAAAAACATTTCAAATACACAGGCATATTCTATATTTAAATTTTTATGGATTTGACATTAAATTAATATAATTTAAAGACAATGTTTCATATTTAATATTTTTACAGGTTTAATAAATTTATATAAATTTGTTAGCATGTCATTTTATTGATGCTTGACTACAATTAATTTCATTGCGTGTTTTGTTACATTGTTGTAACATGTCATCAAATTAGGTGAAGTTGTCGTATTTCACAAATGAGTGTTATATATATATAATAGACAAGTAAAGTTTAAGTCACATCAATAAAAAGTTTAATTTGAACGAGTTTAAATAATCGAATTAACATAAATTCTTATTGAATTTTGATTCATTTATATGTTTTCTTATATTTCATTTAAATTATTAAACAAAAGTGATAAATCAAAATGAACTGACAAATTAAATAGATGTATCAGTTTAAAAAAATAATAGTGTATTAATCGATAATAGAATAGATCAAACTCCGCCAGTTCCGGTGGGTTAAGAAAAGTCCGAGATATTTAGTAGAGTTGACTAGTTAATTGTTTATCACATGTAGAAAATAGAAAGAAGTAATTCCCTGGAAATTGGAACTAAAGTCCAAGAAAATAAAAAGTTGATGACCCGTATTTTAACCCGTTGCAGCCCAACAACTTGGTGTTGTTACAATCCAAGAAAATACTCTAGCTAATTAGATTGATAATTGTTCAAGACCCATACTTATTACGCAATAATAATTCATTGAGATATTCAGGCAACGGATAATGTTTTTGCCATTTCTCTAATATTTTCACAAACTATTCAATGAACCATTACATATATAAGTGTTTTAATTATTTGCGTATTTTTATGAACAATCATAGACAGCCACAACAATCGCTACTTATTAAGTAAGTTCACTAATGCAAAGCCATCAAAATAAAGTATTTTTTTTCGACTAATTACTTTATAATCATAATTTTTTCTTTCGACAAGAAGATTCGAAGTTGGACACGTGGAGTTGAGAATCCACCATTGGTATTCAATAGTCATGGCCGCCAAAATATCGTCCAAGTGTTACGCTGCCACTGCTGACCACGTGTTTGTCCGTGCTACTTCTTCACACGACACGTTACTGTTCTCACAGTAAACCGGTTCTATTTTCCGGGTCGGGTAAATTAACCCGTCCTTATCACCTTCCTACACCTAACACTCGTTCTAGAACCAAAACTGCGACAAGGACTGAGGGACAAGGCGGATTCGTTGAATTCTTATTTTTGAAAACTCATATGTCCGTTTTACCCTTGAACTTTCCTTCAAATTACATACTTTTGTGCGGGTCCCGCTATTTTTTCCCGCATCTATAGTGGGTGGAAATTGACGGTCAGGATTTCTCGTTGTGTGTCCCCACTATGGATCGACGGTTTAAATCATATCCTCATATATTAGGATTTGGATTTTGTTTAGAGATTCATCAGACGAATCCTGTATGCTGGCCCCATTTAGAATTAGGAAAGAAAATAATATCTAAACACACTTATCTAAAACACAAGCAGTGAAGCAGGTCAAGAAGAAAACAAATAAAAATAAATAGAACAAGTTGCCATTTTTTTTGTTGATAAATCCGCAATTTTAAGAGATACGGAGAACAATAACTTTTTAAAAAAATAATAAAAATACCTATAAATAAACAATCACAGTACATATATAAATATAAAGTAAAATATAATTGAGAAGAAAAGAAAGAAGGAAAAGGATTTAAATGAAGTCATTCCATCACAATTATTGAGTTGAATATTTGACTTATTAGAGCTACAGAAGATGGATCAAAATAATAAGTATCTGGTTCCTTTTTTTTTTTGTAATTAGGTAAATGATTAATTGTGAAAGAAAATATATAGATAATTGTACATTAAAGAAATTAGGTTTAATATTCCTAATCTAGACACTATTGATATTGACCTTGTCTTCCGGTGATTAAATTAGCACAAGAAGGTTCTAATTTTCATATGAATGCATCATTAATCATTAAATTAAAAAGTAGAAATGAGGCACTGACACACTAAATACAGTTCCAATCTTATCTAAACACTAATTTTCATTAATTTAATCGTTGTAATCCATTATTACAATCCTTGGCATTAAAATATTAGGGTATTATAGTTTTAAAAATACGTTGAAAAAGATGTTACCAATAAAAAACTGTAAACCGGAGAAACAAACGCCAAAGGAAAGGAGGAAATTTCCCGTTATTTGAGAAACATCTCGAGGCTATTCCGGTCATTTTACTTCGCGTATTCCTGGCCTCTAAGCAACCATAAAGAGGAGCATGAATGTATAGAATATCAACGCAAATAGTATTCTCATTTTTTTCCAGATCGAAGAAAGAGTAATTTGGAGAAGAAACAAGAACAATTTCGGTAAAAATATCAGTTCGCTACCGTCTTCAACTCTCTCTTCCAACAATTTTTAGGAGTTTAAATTCTTGTTCAAGTTTTTTTTTTCTCATTTTCCCCAATTTATTTTGGAAAAAAATCACTCAGATCTTGTTGTATATACCAAACTTATCTTGAAAAAAACTGTGAATTTATAGGTTTTCCAGACATTTGTTTAGGTTTAGATTGATTATCTCTGAATTGATTGTAAACAATTTAGGAATCAGGGTTTCGAATTGCTGTAAAATTTGGACCTTGGTGGTAATATTCAGAATTTCAGCTTCTAGATTGGTGGGTTATGGCGGTTCCGACGATAGCACTGTACGCAAGTCCGCCGAGTAGTGTGTGTTCTACGCCGTATCAATGCCACTCTCACGCGTCTTATGATTTCGATTTGAACGGCAGATTATCGTCGTCTTCCTCGTCGACATCCTCTTCTTCCCAGAAATCCATTGTCGGTGGCCTGTCGTCTCTGTTCTCTTCGCCAGCTGTGAAGGCCAGCTATTCAACTGGAACCGAGGATTTGGGGTCTTTGTGGCATGATAGAGGCGACGAATTGAGCAGCTCTTTTCGTTGTTCATCCCTCAGCTCGTCATTGAAAAGGGATCATCAGAGTCCAGTTTCTGTGTTTCAAGGGCCTGTTTCATGTAGCACTAGTAGTAGTGGAATAGGATCATATTCCAGAAGTCCTCCAAAGAGAATTGCTGGTGATGTCTGTTCCATTCGTTCTGGGACTGGTGGATTGTTCAATGGTTTTGTTAGGCACGCCTTGGGATCCTGTGTTGATCACGATCCGGCGGCTTTCCAGGTCCTGGATGATGATTCTCGTTCATCAGGGCTATTGGATGAACTCACCTTTAACATGGAAGAAGGTTTCTTGGAGTCCATGACAGAACCTTATGCTAAAAATTTGCTGTTGGGTGCACAGGCAAGGCATAAAATCTTTTATGATGATTTTGTGGTGAAGGCATTTTATGAAGCTGAGAAAGCCCATAGAGGACAGGTGATTGTTTTTGCCTAACTTTTATTAATTCCCACTGCTATTAGTAAAAGTTTTAGTTTTGACTTGTTGTATTGTATTGGTTTTTTAGGTGCGAGCTTCTGGTGATCCTTATCTACAGCATTGCGTTGAGACTGCAGTTTTACTCGCAACCATTGGTGCTAACTCGACTGTTGTTGCTGCTGGACTTTTGCACGACACACTTGATGACACATTCATGACTTATGACTATATATTCCGGACGCTAGGAGCTGGTGTTGCTGATCTGGTTGAGGGGGTATGGATATTGTCTCGTTGTATTCTTGTTTTCTTATATGAAGCTCCCTGTTGTTAATCATAACTTTGGGCATTTAAACATTTTGTTAATGGTCTTTTTTCCTTATTCAAAGGGTTTTGCATTTAAATTTCAAATGTAGATTAGATTTGATTTTTGTGTAGGATTTATTTTAGTAGTCATTTGAACAATACATAGGTTAATGTTAAAACAAGAGTACTGAGTTGAAGTTGAGAAAGAATATTTTGAATGTTTCAGCAGTATCCAGAATGTGTTTGCAATCACTCATGGCCAAATCACTATTGGCAAAAAACTGAACTACAATTTTCGGTACGAGTATGTCTTTGATTAGTGAAAGGTTAAAGAGGTCATAGGACTATCAAGCATCTGCTGCCTTCTATGTTTAATAATGATAATCCCGACTCCCAAGTGTTAAACTTGTTTTTAACTTAAATCATTTTGTCCAGGTGTCGAAGCTTAGTCAATTGAGCAAGCTTGCACGAGACTTTGATACAGCTAGTAAAACTGTTGAGGCGGATCGATTACACACCATGTTCCTTGCTATGACAGATGCCAGGGCGGTTCTCATAAAACTAGCTGATCGTTTGCATAATATGGTTACTTTGGATGCATTACCATCTACAAAGCAGCAAAGATTTGCTAAAGAAACTTTGGAAATTTTCGCCCCTCTTGCTAATCGCCTAGGCATCTCAACCTGGAAAGAGCAGCTGGAGAACCAATGCTTTAAACATCTTAGCCCTGATCAGCACAATGAACTGTCATCCAAACTAATGGATTCTTTTGACGAGGCAATGATTACCTCTGCTGTGGAGAAATTGGAGCAGGCGTTAAGTGATGGATCTGTCTCTTATCATGTGCTTTCAGGGCGTCACAAGAGCTTGTACAGCATTTACTGCAAGATGCTAAAGTAATTTCTCTGCCCATTTAGTACACTTATAAAAGTTGCACCAGTGGATTTGGGTGATCAGACAATTTAGTGTCTGTAGTTTATAGACATGCATGTCATTTAGGGCTGTACTGTGTAGGAAGTGGTTTTCTGTAGATTATTCAATGTGATGATAAGAATTACTAGTCATCGTCATTACACAGTTAGAAACTTTTGGAAGCCTTGTGCTTTCCGTGCAATGCTACTTTCTTACCAATGTTGCCTTTGTGGATTGTGACAGTTGAGCTAACAGTATTTTCATATTCTACAGGAAGAAGCTTAGTATGGATGAAGTCCATGACATTCATGGGTTGAGGTTGATTGTTGAAAATGAGGAGGATTGCTATAAAGCACTTCAAGTTGTTCACGAGCTATGGCGTGAGGTACCCGGGAGATACAAGGACTACATAGAGAAACCGAAATGCAATGGGTAAGCAGCATGAGAGACTTGATTCTAGCTCTCTCTTTTCTTTCAAGTTTTTGCCCCTAATATGAATGTGTAATTTTTAGGTACCAATCTCTTCACACGGTTGTTCTTGGGGAAGGCATGGTGCCTCTTGAAGTGCAGATCCGAACAAAAGAGATGCACTTGCAAGCTGAATATGGCTTTGCTGCTCATTGGAGATACAAAGAAAATGATTGCAAGCACTCCTCTTTTGTACTTCAGATGGTAGAGTGGGCTCGTTGGGTTGTAACCTGGCAGTGCGAGACAATGAGCCGAGACCAGTCATCTGTTGGCCACACTGAATCGATTAAGCCACCTTGCAAATTTCCAGCTCATTCCGAGGATTGTCCTTTTTCTTGCAAACCTGATTGTGGAACTGATGGGCCTGTCTTTATCATTATGATTGAGAATGATAAGGTCCGTATCTACCTGTGAATCCTGAAAGTTACAGAATTGATAATCATGGTGTCAAACCATCAGAATGTGTTTTGACTCCCTGTTTTTTCTTTGCAGATGTCTGTTCAAGAATTCGCAGCAAACTCGACCGTGAAGGATCTGTTGGAGAGAGCTGGCCGTGGGAGCTCAAGATGGACACCCTATGGATTTCCTATGAAGGAAGAGCTAAGGCCAAGGTTGAACCACGAACCAGTTAGTGATCCCAACTGCAAGCTAAGAATGGGAGATGTTATAGAATTAACTCCAGCGATACCACATAAATCGTTGACAGAGTACAGGGAGGAGATTCAACGAATGTATGATAGAGGTGTAAGCCCTCTTCCTGCCGCTGCCAATACTGTAGTTGGTCTGAGGAGTTGACAGTTGATGTTTCTCCTCCTCCTAGATTAAGGTCCTCCTCTAATCTTGTACATAATTACAAATGATAAGCATTTGTACAGAACAGCCGTGGTTCTGTATATAAAAAAATATATTAGGTGACTGATTTATTCAAGTCTTGACTTGCATTTGTTAGTACTTTGGAAATGCAGACTGCTTTAGCTATTGCTGCTTTTCCATTTTCCCTTATATTTATACTCTCTCTTTTACTTTTTTTATTCATCTTTTGAAGCTCGATTGCAACATGATGTTTTACTTGTCCTGTGCTCAGCAGCAAGGATAATTTCCTTGTATTTTCATGTATCTGCTTTGGTACCTACCTGATTTTCTCTTTTGGATCACCAGTAAGATTTTCATGTATCTGCTTTGGTACCTACCTGATTTTCTCTTTTGGATCACCAGTAAGATTATATTCGAACGAGCGAAGATTTGTGTCTAATGTTTTACTTATGTACTGTTCAATTCCGCAATTAAAATATATAGTTGAAACACACATAACAATCACATTATAACATAACAAAACAGGAGACCTTCAGTACAATGCTATTGAATTTAGAGGAGAATACATTAAGATTAAGGCCAAGTGAACAACATTTTGTATGATCATTCTTAATCTTATCGCAAATGGTGTGCACTTCGTCTGATTACAGGGAGGAGATAAAAATTGAAAACATCTATTTCCATAAATATTGTTGCATAGAACTCTGCCAGGAAAGCACACATAAGAGCATTACCAAAACACCAGCAAGACCCCAAGAGGAACTCCCAATTCTAAGCACAGCCGAAGGTTGTGGAGATGCAAAAATCGAAGATGTACTTGCTCTTCCTCGTACTGATGATGATGAAGAAGTGCTTCTAATTGCAACAATTAATCCAGCCAGTAGAACAGGCAATACACAACTCCATCTCGTCTCGTAATAACTGCTCTCTTTCTTTCCTCGATCCACATATAATGGCGATAGGACAACAGCGGAAACAAGGGCTAGAGCCATTGCTACTCCTCTATGCGAAGAATAGTGGTATGAACTTGATGCATAATTCTCCATATTGATCAAAAGGTCGATTTCATCAAAAAAGACCTTCAATTGTACCGATGATGGTTCAAATTTTACAACATAGTGGAGGAATATATTTATAAAGGAACAAGATGAGCTATCAAAGGAATAAAGTGTAGGATCTGATGATAAAAGTGACCGAAAAGCAGTATAAAAAGAAGATTTGGTTAAGAAGAAAAGGCAAAATGTGAAGGAAAATGGTGAATATAGAAGTGGATCTTTTTCCCTTTTTCGATGTTCAGCAAAAGTTGAATTTCTGGTTTACTTGAACAGTGTAATGGAGAAACACCTGGCACTGAATATTCATTTGGCATTTGCTATTATTATTATTATTATTATGAACAAGTGATGAAAATAAATGAAGCTCTTTTCACTTTCTTTCTGAATTTCGATTACTTCATTCAATTCGTTCCAACACAATGATTGAAGAAAATGTGTTATATTTGATTGTGCTCTCTTTATTACATGATGGGTTTGCACATTGTTGCCCCCTTACAGAGGAAACAGAAGGGTAATGATAGCAGTGTCAACACCAGCTGCGGACGCAGAAACACAGAAACTTATATAGTGTTTGTAAGCTCCAATAGACTAAATCTAAATTTGTTTTAAGAGATGTATTTACAAAAAATGAAATTTAACCACTATATAGTGATTTTTCGACAAAGACAACAAGCAAACACAATTTTACTAAAAACGTAATGAACTCGACTATAGTGATTTTTCGACGAAGACACCCCTTGGACAAGCAAACACAATTTTATTAAAAACGTAATAAACTCAATTAATTTAAATTTGTATTACGAGATCATAAAGCACCACAACCAAAGACAACTTCATATAATTCAAAACTTTCTTATGAATAAACTTTTAACTCTCTTGCATAAATTGATCATTATGAAGAGGAAGGAAAAGCTCACAACTCAAAAAGTCCTAAAAGGCCCTACTACAGCCTGGTTAACGTGCCTTTATCCTCACATATATATTCACTTCACTTGCCTGCTTACTTATATTATATTTCACGTAAGGACAAAGGAGTCATGGTCCTATTTTTATGATTTTGCTTTTTAAAACAATTTAGCCAAATTCCCATATAAGTTCACAATATGGCCAAATCCTGATGTCTCATATTGCAAATTGCAATTTATTTATATTATTTCTTCCACAAGGTTCATGATGTACTGAACCCCTAAATCACAATTCACTCATAATGGGCCGCTAGCTGGATTGGACACCCATCACTCCATGAAGTATAAAATTTGATTAAATATATATATATTAAATTTGATTAAAATATATATATATAGTTTCAACTTTTTATATGACTGGTACATTTTAATACATGCTATATATTGAATCTTATAAAATCAACGTAATATATTCTTCTATTTTTTTTAAATTTTATACAAAATAAAAATTAGACAAATAAATTGAAATAGAGAGTTTACGTAGATTTTTGATCAAAATGGCTACAATTGCTACGCGTTTGGATCGCTGTGAGAACAAAAGTTACCCATTATTTCAGTGTCCAAATGAAATTTTGTTTTACTCATATAGTGTCTAACTACACAGATATCAATGTGATGAAATACTGCCATGTCACTGCTACATGTCCGCAATAATCAATACATTTTGCCGAATTACCAATTTTTTTTAAAAAAATTTGGATCATTGATATTGACAAATGCAGTATATACTCCATTTATAGGAAAAAGTACGAACTTGTTCTAGATTGAGTTAATCCCGAAGTGTAAAACTTTAATTGTGATACAAATACCGTAAAAATTTAATTACGATAAGAAAAATGTCGTGCATACAACTCTATTATAAGCGGCAGATAAAATGTGAAACTCTCTATAATTAAGAGAAAGTTGATGTCAAATTGTTTATTTAGTAGTACTATAAAATAAATATAAATAAAAGATAAGGTCATTCTACAGCTGGGGTGCTATAGCACCAACTTATGTATTTTCAAAAAATGAATTCAACGTGATGAAAAAAAAAAACTCTCCTATTTAATGTTAGCACCACACTAGAAAGTAAGTCTCATATTTTTTTTAATTTAGTCTGTTTCAAAAAAAGAATTTATTTATTTTTATACGCATGGGTTTTTAGATTTCAATATATTTTTGTTTTGGATTAAATTTTTTTGAAGTCTTCCTTTATTTCGAGATTATAAATTTAAAAATTATCTTTTATTTTTAATATATATATAAAATTAAATTAAGACGCTTAAAATAATTATTACTATTATATTGAGAGGAAAAAATATATATTAGTAAGAGGTAGGCTTGGTAGATGAAATCGTTTTTTTCCGTTAGGCAGTGATGGAGAGTTTTCGCCTCCGCTTCCACAATTTCTTATCTTTCCATCTCTCCATCATTGCTAAAATTTTCCGGTGGTTATTCTCCTCTTTGCCTACCATCAAACGCTTTCCTCTCTTCGTTCCTTTCATCGACGCTTATATATCCCTCTTATTCCGATTTGCCAACTTATCACCATGCACCCTCGATCTAGACGACCAAACCACCATCCATTTCTGGGCTCCCAATCACCGCCGTTACGATAAACCAAATCTCGTCCTCGTCCACGGTTACGGAGGCGATGCCAAATGGCAATTTATGTACCAAGTCAAATCACTGGCTGAATCCTTCAACCTCTACATTCCGGATCTGTTATTCTTCGGTAAATCGTATACAACTCGGAAGGAACGAACGGAGGAGTTTCAGGCGAAATGCGTGGTGCAAGGGTTAAAGGAATTGGGAGTGAGAAATTGTTCCATGTTTGCAATTAGCTATGGGGGATTTGTTGGGTATCGAATGGCGGAGATGAATCCGCAAATGGTGGAGAAAGTAGTGATATTGAGTAGTGGAGTGGGTTGCTCGAAAGATCAGAAGGAAGAGCAGTTGAAAAAGATTGGAAGAGATCCGGTTGAATTGCTCATACCGGAGAAACCAGAGGATCTGCATGTGCTCGTAAACTTATCAATTTACAAGTACAATCATTTCAAGTGGGCCCCTGATTACTTCCTCCAAGAATTCATTGATGTGAGTATTCAATTTATTGGTTACACAAAATTTAATATTTCCAAAATATTCAATTCATAACCAAATTCACAAGAGTGGAAATAGTACTATCATTATTCAGTGATATACTAGTACTACTTGTGTTTCAATGATTGGTTTTGTTATTTTGTTGTTGCATGCAAACGAAGATATATAGTTAGTATTTGATGTTTAAACTAAATAATTTCCACTCATTAATTATGATTGAATAATAGAAATTTATACTCAAGGTGCGGGTATATGCTTACATGGCCTGGAATATTCTTTATTTTTAAAGGACTGTATTTTAGCACAGAATTTTGTAAGATGGGGTTAAAATGAAAGAAAATGTTTTAAACTAAAAGTGCTTTTCTGAAAATAAGTGATTATTTTGCTTGTTTTTTTGGTGTTCTCTAGAGTAACAAGTATATTAGTATAAACTGAGGTGGACCCCGTTAATTTCAAGAAAAAATAATTAGCAGTGCACTCTTGGGTTCAAATCCAGTGAAGAGTGTTTATTTTACTATTTTTATTTTAAGTTTATCTTAGAGCTCAATTTCGAGCTAACTTAATATTGATACACTCAAAGTCCTCAATTCCTAAGTCTGTCTGTGAGTATAAAAGATATTGTTCTAGAGAATTTATATACTCCACATATAATTAGGCAAATACTATGAGAGTGGGGTTGGATGGGATGTTGAGAGGTAATGAGTAGACAATCGAAGTACAATATTTGTTATCAGTCTTACCTTTTGAGCTAGGAAATCATTTTCTTTATTTTCAACTCCGAGTTCACTGATGATTGTAACACATTAAGATTACAGAGAATTAAAAAGTGCGTCTCTTGATGCTCTTCCTGTATTTTTTGAAGATGATAAGTAGGACTTACCTGAAGGAGAAGCAAGAGCTAGTGCACCACTTGCTGTCCAATCATACAGATTGCAGATTGCCCATCCTAAATCAGGTCAAACTTCTTCCCATATTCTTTAACAAATCAAACACATTATAGCAAAAAACTTAATGGCTGTGAAATCATTCTGCTGACTATATAATCATAAAAAACAACTTGTTTGTTGCTTAATTTGGTGTATACAGGAAACTCTGCTTATTTGGGGTGACAAGGACAGAGTTTTCCCTCTTATGTTCGGCTACCAGTTGCAAAGGTACTTTTAATTCTACTACTCCCTTTGTCCTGTTTTATATGACTTGCTTTCTTTTTTAAGTGGACTACTAGATTCTTTGTACTGAATTTGTATTTATTTGTAGGCATTTGGGGCCTAGAGCAAAGTTGGAAATTATAAAAAACACAGGACATGCAGCAAACATTGAGTCTCCTGATTCTGTCAATGCTTTGATTAAAGCCTTTATCTTGCCGCAAAGCAAAGACTTATAGGGTTGACACTGGGATTGATCTTGATACTGCTAGGCTTAGCTGGGGGTTCTTGCTCCCTATGTTACATATCTCTATTACTTTCTCATTGTTTGTAAATAATGAAACTACTAATGGGACTTTAAAGTATTACGAAGTCTCCTAGATGATATAAATCAAGTTGATTAATGTATGTACGTTTGATGAATAGCATCAACCTGAACGCAATTCAGCTTAATTTTTGACTTTTTGCCTTTACAAATTCACTTATGAAAACACGTCTAATGTGGTAGTAAGAAAGAAAGATTTGACTCAAAATAGCTAAATCTTCCATAATGAGCAGAATGAAATTGGCTGTCCTTTCCACCATAGATCCACACAGCCATCTTTCTCCTCCACCCTTATCTCCCAATTGCTGTCATACTTCCTCAGCAAAGCCCGAGCTCCGTCAATGGCATCTTCACCAAACACCGCTTTTACAAAACCAGCGCTCCTCATTCTCTCACACCATTTCTCTTTTCTTTCATTCATTTCTCCCATGTTCGTCAATGCCTTTGCTGCTTCTCCTTCCATCATCCTCCTTTCTTCGCTCTCCCGCCCTTTGTAGGCAACACTCGTGGAATCCAAAAACCTCCATAAGTACTCCACTCTCCTTGAGAACGTGGTCGCAAAGTCCCCACAGCTGTTGCAGCTGCACTCCGTGTTATTCTCGCTGAGAACTAATCCTTTCGGGTCCAAACTCTTCAATATCTTCAATAAATCTGTTCGATCATCCGGGATAGTATGATTCAAGTTATGCAGTCTAAATTGAGCACAGATGACTAAGGTTTCATCAGATGAAGAATTTATGATTTGGGAATTGAGGTTTTGAAGAGGAAAATTATCCAGTCTGTTGATCTGTAGATTGATGTTGATAGCCTTTGCATAGGCTAGTAGTTGCGAGGAAAAATCATAGCCAGGTGGCCCGATCACAAATGGAGTTCCTGTCAATTCTCCGTTTTCTGTGGTTGGTGTAATAACGGTCAGGCGAACCAGTGGCGGCGGTCCACCTGACCGCCTAGTCAATTCTTCAAGAAGAGTTGGCCATTGAAAACCATGAGAAACTCCAATATCAAGGATATGAAGGTTCTTTAGCCGATCCTGTTGTCCAATTATTTGGAGAACAGATGAATTCGCAATGTTATTGGGGATTCGGAACCAGGGACTAACGTCGATGAAATTAATCAACGAGTCCCTGAAGAATTTATGATTGGCAGAAGAGAAATTAGTAACTCCAATAGTTCCAGAGGATGCTGATGATGAGCCAGGGGAAGACAGATGATGTGTCAAGGCGCGGAGTCCATGAGCAGCTAGCCTGTGGTTGGCATCGCCTGTGAATGACGCCAGTTCATGGAGAACGTACAACAGATGTTGCACGCGGTTCATGTTACCTACAGTGATTGCAGCAGCACAGGGGTTGAGCAAATGTTCTGCCCATCTTCCTTCTTTGTTGTTACTGTTATTTCCTGTTGTTACTCTCTTCGGTCCTATTGATTTTTTTAATTGCACTCCTTCTTGATCAACTATAGTAGGAGCATGTGCTGCCTCATTAATCTGAAGTTTATGATTCTTCTTTGACGCCTTTGGATTTTGATCAGATTTTTTCCTTTTCTTAGACAGATCCACCGGCTGTGGATGATCCAAAATGATGGGCTCCAAAGGGATATTGTTAATAGCTGTGTTGACTGGGGAGCTAATGTTGAATGAGTTACAAGTATTGTCGATGATGATGTTGTGATTAACGATCTGATCCTCTTGATCAGGAACCCACCATGGGTCCGCGTAGAAATTTAAGTCATCGGCATAACTGTAAGGTTCATGGAAGAAGGATGGAACATCGGATAAAGTACTAGCTAGCCACTCTGATATGGGGTCGGAGTTGGAATTAGGCTCAGGTTCTTCAATGGCCATTGTATCACAAAAATTTTGATGAGAAAGGATGTTTGGTCATTAACTATGCAAATAGAAAAGAGGTTATGATGTGAATTTGTTGTGTGGAATTGAAATAAGTGATGTAAAACAAATGGTGACAATAATTTTTTTCTTGAAGAACAAGACAGAACGGGGCATATTTAAGAGGCAAAATTGCTGTTATTTTGGAAGTTATGCTGTTCTATTCTGATATTATTTGTTTATTTTTTTAAGCTGGTAATCTTGCCTCTGATTCGTGCTGTTATTTGACTTATTTTGTGGCGTGTCACGATTGTTCAGAGTGTTATCAACAACACAATTGGAGGCACTAAGCTATTACTCCCTCGTTCTAAAAATATTTTTTTCCTTAAAAAAAGAAATCTATTCAATTTATCTTTAGTTGTAGTTGTTTTGAAAGCTACAAATACTTTAAATAAGGACATACAAAAGGGCTCCTAATTAATTTTCAACATGTAAATAGAAAACACTAAAAAAAAATTTTAAGTTTCCTGGATAGTGACAAGTTTTTGTGTTTGAAATTACAGGGGACGGCAATCTCTTCATCACCGTGATTAATTTAATGGTGTTTTTGTTTGATATTGCTCTCTCCAAAGCTATTGGCTGATGCACTTTTGGCATCTTTCCCAAATAAACAATTGACCTCTAAACAACTCATAATACTACTTGTCTTTTTCAAGAAAATATTTTTTTTTTTGATCTACCAAAGATCCTATTATTAACACACCATTTTCAATCTTCATTGCAACTTCTTTACAAAATCAACAAAAGTTCTCGTTTGGACATTATATATAACTGCGTTAACATATTCTTGTGCTAAATAAGTTGTGAAAGTAGTCATTCTCAACGAATAACAAAATGAGAGTCTCAGTATTTATGTTAACAGGTTTTAATTATTAAAAGTTAAAATGAGAACAAGTTTGCCATAAATATCTGTATGCAATTAAACAGTAGATATTTATTCATTTGACATAAATGAACAATTTTTAAATGCCACACATTAGTTTGGAATGGATCCATACAAAAAAGAGATAAAAATAGTCACATAGAGCTTTCAGTATCTCATTAAAGAAATGAGTAAACTCATAATTTGTAATGTTTGAATTCCACTTGTCTCGTAGTCATGCGCAGTATAATTTCACATACATAGTCATACTCGGGAAAAAAATGTTTAGTTCATTTCCAAACAAACAGAACATTAAAGAAACAAAACAACCATAGAGAAAAAATACAACAGACCCAATTTGGCAACAAGGAAAAACAGAATTAAAGGATTAACAGGTAACAGAATGCAATTGTTGCTTAATTAGTACCTCCAAGCACACCCTTAAGTTTCTTAATTGTTGCTTCATCAAGGAATGTTGTTGCCGCAACCAACTTAGTTGGCAAATCATTAGCAAATAATGCAAAATCAGTAATCTGAAGTCCAGGATTAGAGCTGCTAAAGAATACATAACCGACAGAAGTATATCCAGCATCACTGACTTGAAAATGTAATAATCCTTGTGGAAAAACCATTAGATCACCCTTTTTAAGTGTTTTTAAATAAACAGAATTTGCTGATGAAACAAATCCAGCAGTAATTGATCCTTGCACTACAAGTAAAATTTCAGAAGCACCAGGGTGAGTGTGAAATGGGATGACACCACTTGGGGCCAAATCTAAACGGGCTGCAGAAAGCCCAAGCCCGTTAAGACCTGGAAACTGGGCCGCAAATGCTGGGGTAACTGCGGCCTTTATAATGCTTGCTGTGTTTCCAGCAGCACTAAGCCCAGAAAACACGAAATCGTCAACTGTTACATTTGTAACACTTTTGCAAGAATAGCCAGAAGGTGATTCCGGTGCTTTTAAGTCTGCCACGCAGAAATCTTGAACAGCGGCATCGCTGCTCAACAGTAAGATAGCCAACAGAAACAGCAATTTAAACATTTTCTTAAAAATATGTTATGTGAAGTTTGTGAGCAAGGAAGGTTAGTTTGTAAGTGCGTTTATATAGAGAGGGAAATGAGTGAGAATTTTGGATATTGAAGTGCAAAAAGGGCAAATTAAATGCCACTTGAATTTCTAAAGGGAATGGTAACCACAAGTTGTGTGATAGGGCTATCGTGAGTGTGTTTTGTCATCTCCTTGGAAATTACCTTCACTAGCCATTTCTTGGAAAAATAATTAATGTTATCGTAACATCCAGACCTAACTTAATCTTCAGAAGTTAGCTCTCAACTTGAGAGTATAAAATTGTCCAGATTCATATGAGTAAACCAACGATCTATTCCCTAATCAATTCATAGGACTGTAACCTATTTATAACAAGCTTATTTGGAGATTCACTACGTGCTACTTTCATTACTAGGATATTTTAAGCAATCTAGCTTTTATTTCTGTTTTGCTTGTCTTCAAACTATCTTGAATTGGTAAAGCTTCTCAAATTATGCGCATAGTCAGTCTACAATTACTTACTTTTAGTATGATGTGGTATTGTTCGTCAAAAAACATTACAGTATTAACAGTAGCCCTACACCTTATACGTAGTTTTTTTTTCAGTTATCATTACAGCACAACCTACATCTTCAGTTGAAGAAATAGACAAAAAAAAAAAGGAAAAGAATAGAGACAAGGAGTATCTTTTTGGTGTTATATTACATTATTAAGAGGTGATGTGATTTTTGGATATTTTGATTTCCAGTTTGATAGGTCCGACTTCAATCATCAAAAAATCATTTCAAAGAGTAATGATCGCTTAGTGCATTGTTTTTATCAAGGCAAGATGTTGTTTCTCTTCTATATTTTTCTCAAAATACAAATGATATGCAAAGTTCAATGGGGCATCGTATAGGAGTTCGGAGCCTAAAGGGTGAAAAATATTAACAAAAATTTCAAAACGGTATATTAAGTAATACTTCGTAAGTGATTTTACCGTTTTGGTTAAAAAGAATTTCATATACCGTTTTAAAATTTTTATTAATATTTTTTCCGGAGTCCATCATATGGCCTTCCTTTAGGCCACTTTCCAAATTCTAAAATTAATTCAATGGGGTTTAGTTTCTCCTTTAAAGATTGTTTGGATATTTTTTTCATATAAAAAAAATTTAACCAAGTGAACTAATAGAGACATATATAATTTAAAGAACAAACTCAACAAAGACAAGTATTCTTGAGCTGAATATGAATCCTAAATAGCATTCTCACCACCGAGTATGTTATTGTTGTAAAAAATGAAATGCCCATAATGTGAGGGAGTTGATTTATTGAAAGTGGTCCTAATTTAGGGCACATGGTGGGAAAAAGTAAGGAAAAGGAGAAGTCTACAAGAAGACATATGCTGACAGCTCGAATCCAGAAAGAAATAGTTGTATGATATACTCTTATATGCATAATAATATTAGCTAGAAAAGGAATTATATGTGGACAACAGCAATTGTCTTTCCACTAATGAAAATCCATCACCATTGAAGTCATGGAGGACAAACTAAATAAATTTTTTTTTATCATTGATTGACGTCTGATATGGTGCAATGCTACCTTGTAAAAAGGGCGGAGTTCGAAACTTGAGTTAAAAGAATTTTTCAAACACAAATATACTTAGTTTGGAGTTTGGATTAAGACTATTGAATTATCTCGACCGATTGATGTAGCTGCGTCTCTACTTTGCGACATCAATAAATTCGCTCATGATCCAATTACAATCTACTGTTTGTATTTCCTTCTTTCCATTTTTGGATCATTTGCTTGTTAGTTAGGTAGGAAGATAATTATTCATGAATTGAAAATAACATGTTTGATGGTCATTTAGAACATCGCTTTGTATAAAATTTACATACGAGGTAGTTACGGTCTTTGATTATCATTTTACAATCCCACATAATCTATAAGTATGAATCAATTGATTTATTATTTTACAAAGGGTACATAGAAGATGCGAAATAGCTAGTGAAATGCAAAATTTCTTCCATTACTTATCTCTTCCTAAATCTAATAAGATTCTGTGGAATAGTATTCTCAACAGACATTCACCCTCTTCCAAAAGTTATATTCTAGAAAGTGTGCAAGGAAAGACAAATGGGATAATTGCAAAATTACAAATCAAATTATTTTGAGGAGTATCGAATAATAATAATAACGTTGTTCTGATAAATGGTGCATCTACTGAAAAGCCATAACAGATTTGATTTTTGTTATTTGTTCAAATGTGGTTTGGGCTAATAACATAATACTGGATCATTGACGCTAAAAACCTAAAAATAGCTTCTAGTTTTCGAAGTATAGGTAAGGGCAAACCAAACAATAATAACTTAAGGCACAATTGCACAGATAGCCAATTTAATTATGAAACGCATTTAAAGTGAAATGTACAGCAACAAAATACACCGTGCACAAGTCTTACTATTGGATGCACTTTATATCCAATCAGTAATATCAAGGGGCGATTGGTCGGAACAAATTATCTTAGAATTAGTTTGGCTATCTTGAGATAACTTATCACACCATCTATATGAGATAACTTATTTCATCACTATACTATAAATAGTAAGATAAATTATCCCAAACATGACAACCAAACAAAGATACAAAATTTTATCCCATCACTATTTATTTTTAGGAAAAATTGTATATAATAGCAAACTAATAACCTAAAATAAATGGAGTAGCTAGGGTTTGATTTAATTGTGCTCCATAGCGAACGTTTGCTAAAAATTATCAGGCACCTCTCTCCCAAATATCTCACTCGCCACTCTCCTCCAATCTCTCGCTCACTTCCTTACTTTTTATACAGACACAAGTGTATAAAAATTGTTTCTAATTGTATAAAGCAGAGAAAATTGTATAAATACATATATTTTTGTTTCCCTCTCTCCCTTCTTCCAGATCTCGCTCGCCACTCTCCAAAATCTCGTTTGCCACCCTCGCCTTTCTCACTTATACAAATAGAAGCGAAATGTATAAATTGCGTTTATGTTTGTATAAAGCGTGAAAAATTGTCTATACACATGCAAGTACATATATTTTCGTCCGATACACTTATAATTATATAATAAAAATACTCCCCTGCCCAGTTTCTTTTGCCTTTCTCTCTTCCTCGTTTTATACAATTTTCAAATTGTATCTAATTTTTCTCTTTCTCGTTTTATACAATTCGATTCAATTGTATATTCCTTGTCAAGTCTCTTTTGTCTTTCTCTCTTTCTCATTTTATACAAATTCAAATTGTATATTGTTGTTCTATACACTTATAATAATACAATTCGTTTTATACACTTCGTTTTTGTACAGTTCTCTGCCCAAGTGTCTTTCTCTTTCTTGTTTTATACAATTTGATTCAACTGTATATGTATAGCGAATTATACAGTTTCTATGTTTGTTATGGAGCACAATTATGCAAACTTTGTTATAACATATAAATATAAATTTTTTATTTGCTATATGTGAAAGTTGCCCTTATTTTTATCCCTAACACCACCAAAAACTCTATTGTGTGTGATAGAGAAGAAGAGCAGCAGTGCTTTTATGTAAAGTTTGTCAATACTGGCTATAAATTAAATGATTTGAGAAGTTGAATACA